CAGATGGTGGGGGTCACATGATTGGAGGCTCTTTCTGCGGCGCAGTGTCACCCCGAGGATCACAGTCACCCTTTATCGGCCAATTTCAGACGAGATGCTGTGGAGAAATTCCCTCTTGTTCAGAAAGCTGCCGGGAAGCAGGCCCTTCATGTAAAATGTCAGGAGTACATTCTGGCGCTGCAGGTGCCAACCATGTCTCCTGTGAAGTTTGAGGTTGTATTAATATTTTAACTTAGCACTGATGGGATGTTCCTGAGCACCAGCCGTGCCCAGTTAGCCGACACTGGGCAACCCATGCCTGCTTGAGTCCGTGTGCTCTATATCCGGGCATGCTGCCGCTCCTGAGAGCCTCCCGAGCCCCACCGCACCGGGCGGCCCCACCTGGACCCAGGCATGCCCTGCCCCTTGGCTTGGGGGGGCCAGGGCCATGTACCTAGTCACTTGCTTTACTGTCTAAGCCTTTACGGTGCTGTTGTTTTGGGGGACACAACCTGGCCGACGGGATTCCTCAAATCCCTATTCCATGATAACGGCGTACAAGATTCTAAAGTATTTTCATAGCACCATTTAGCTTCCCCGCAACTTCGTAGATTAAATGTTTTACAAATATCTTGCTGTTGTGGGGTAAGGTGTTTCCTGCATCTGTTTTATCTTAATTCTTTTTCTTTCATGAAAACCTTGGGATAATTCTTCAAGGTAGAGAGCATAGCGATCATACGCGTTTGCAAGGAATGGAAGGAGCTCCCAGCCGCCCCTGCCGTGGGCTCTCGGCCCGGAGGAGCACAGCCTGGCTGGCTTCCTGCGCCCTCGGCTTTCTCTCCTGTGTACGTGTCTGCACGTGCGCAGCTGGCCGCTGGGTGCCGTCGATCCCCGCATGAATTTCCGGGCCTTCGTGGGGTACCCGTCTCCACAAAATAGAGGCTGCATCGGACCTTCCAGGCTGCACGTACTCGCGCTGCCCTGGGTGAGAACCCTACAGGAAATGAGTCACAGTGCCCCCAAATCCAGTCGCGCCCCTGCCAGGCGGCAGAGTCAGGAGGCGGGGCCTCGCTCCTCCGAGAGCACAGGCCCAGGCAGGGCCACCTGTGGGAGAGAAACGCCCCACTCACCGCCACTTTCCCTAAGTGACTCGAGGGCAGTGGGATTCTAGACTTCTGTGTTTCCATTTCACTTGCTCTTCTTTCTTTGTAATATCAAAGGTTTAATTACTAAAGTGGACCTTTGTTCTCCTCCAGTAAACCTATGTCAGGATAACCCAGGATTTTGAGATGTACATAGTTTGAACATTTCTTTCATTTGAAATCACCACGACTATTTGGAAGCTGCTGCTGCAGACTTTACTAAGCTTCTCAGACAGCGGCTGAAGCTGGAAGACATTTTTAAGAACTCCTGAGGTCATCCTCTTGCTATTTATATACTCTTCTTGCTTGGAACAAAGTGAAAGAATTCACAAATATCAAGACCTAAGCACCTGTTTAAAGCTAAACATCTATGCCTTCAGCTAGCAAATAATTTCTTTATAATTAAGCAGACCACCGCGGGGCCCAGGTCAGCTGGGGTTTTCTGGAGCGGTCACAGGATAACTGCTAGGGACTGCTCGTGCGACTAAGACAAAGCTATCTTTTTCATTCCAGACCATGGAGGTGATATGCGGCAAGATACCCGTGTTTTGAGACCGGGAAAGAGTCGGTGAGCAGAAGAACCGCGGTCTAGAAGCGCATGCGGCGATACCTCACAAGGCCCAGCAGAAGCGAGCGCCTCCGGGGCCTCTCTGCCCGGCCCTGCGGCCGCACGGCCAAGGCGAGCTCCCGCCACTGTCTTCCGCTCCATCTCGCTGCAGCTCAGTTTCACTTATTGCATTTGATCTGTTTATTCACTTAACTCATTGCTCTTAAAAGCAAACAGCCTAAGGAAGGTAAGAACTTATAAAAGAAAATTCAATTCTGGGTTGAGAATCATAATAAAGCCCCGCAGGCCTCTAGTTACAGGTACATTTCTACTGGGACGCTGTGGCATCACCGAAAGTGCATCTTGGTGTCTGGCTGCGGCGGCTGTGGGGTGAGCTTCCCCGAGTTCACTGTGAACGTGAGCGGCCGCTTCAAGCTTAAAAGCCACCAAAAGTTGCACCAACAAAGGCTTTTTCTCAGATCTCATCAGAATTGGACATTGAAGACTTTTCATTTCCATGAAGCTACTATGTATATGAATAAATGTCAACCAAAGTCAAGAAGTAGGTATAACAATGTAGCCAGCTATGGGCTCTTCTTTTTAGGGCCTGTCTTTGTGAATAAAATATTGACCACTCCCTGTTGGGACCTTGGCTCAATTCTGCTCTAAAAAAAAAAAAATTCTGCTCTCCATCCCTGAGTGAAACAGATTCAGTGGCTTTCAGCAAATAGTAATCCACAGAGTAAGGGCGCGCCGCATCCCCAAGCCGCTTGGGTCCGAGGACAGGATCATGTGAGTCTCCATAAGACCCACACTCACCGTTCCACAAAAGCACAGCCTGAAACAGGGGCCCCCAACCTGTCTCTTCTGCACGCTATTTAATACATATCCCCCTCTTCTCTAGGAATTTTTACCCTAGAATTTGGTTAACTTTAAAAAACTTTCCTCTCACATCCTGGGTGTTGCATTGTTTTTCTTTTCTTTCTTTCTTTCCGTTCTGTTCCTGGTTTCTTTGGCAGTACTGGGGATCAAACTTGGGACCTCACACTTGCCAGGTGGGCACTTATGCCGCTGGGCGCTCTCCCCCGCCCCTGGCTTTTTAGACTGCTCTTTGCTTTAGTTCTTAAATGTCATTTAAATGGCAAGAACGTGTTAGGAGGGGGCCAAGGGACCCGCTACTGTCTCCTTGCTACTCATGCGGGGAAGCTGGGAGCCCCTGCATACATGGATGACTTTTCCCAAATATTTACACAAATTCCACAAGTCTGACCTGGAAAAAAAAATTTTTTGGAGTTAAAGGAAGGAAAAAAAAAAAAACCCCACGCAAGTGGCAAGTTATGAAAAATATTGTAACGTTCAAGACCATTCTTACTGGGAAGTCCAAAAGAAAACTTGAAAGCCTTATTTGGCAAAATGTGCTGCTGGACATGTGTGCAGCATCCGTCCGGGTCACTCCCGCTCAAGGCAGAATGTCAGGGAAAGCGCTCTGGGGACAGAGGCTCGCACCCTGGCTGGGGCTGGAAGGCGCCTCAGGGCTGGCACTCACTGTCTGCACTTGAGGGTGTGGAAAGGAGGGAGTGACACTTCCACAGTTCCAGTCCTTCCAGGTTCTACAACGTGTCCTTCGGGCCACGGTCTCTATGGTTTCCAGGAAGGTCACCTGGGAACTGAGAAATCGCGGTCGTCTTCGTGCCTTGACCAAGAAGGGCCACGTGAGGAATGTGGCCGTGGCTTAGTGCTTCAAATGACAAGCTAACCTCCAAGAATGAATTTCAATGATGATATAGAGACCATGTTTAAGTTCCAACTTTACTCTCGTGCTGGACAGTGGGGCTAGGTGTCCGTAAGCCCCTAATTCCTGTTTCAGTGCATGTCAGCTGGGGGGCAGGTTCACAGGGTGACCGTGGGACCTGTGACATTCAACTGGTTACCAGTATCCCAAACAACTACCAGCCAGCAGACAAACACAGTCTTTCGGACCCCCAGACAAATGCTATTAACCTATAACCTGGCTCTTAGGAAGATGGGGACAGGGAAGGAAAGAGACCATCTCTTTGGTTTTGCAAATTTTTCCTAAATTTAAGAATAGTTCAGAGGGGCTGGGGAGATGGCTCAGTGGAATAAGCACTTCCTTGGCAAGCACAAGGGCCTGAGTTCAATCCCTGGTTCCGAAAAAAAAAAAAAAAAAAGAATAGTTCAGGCTCAAGAGCCAGTGGAATGGCATAAATAGTGTGCTTTCTAGGCAACTGTATGATGAGAGGCACCACAATTTTAGCTTTGTGATACAGAATTTACATGGTGCTACCTGCTCAGTTCTCACTGGGAACCAAAAGGATATTTTTATTAAAACAAGTATAGCCGGCACCTAACCAGCCAAATAATTAAAGTTGAATTTTATTCCATTGAATGCAAATTTAACAGAAACAACTAAATACCTGAAAGTACTGTACTTTGCATTGCATTAAATACAGTTGCTGCCCCATACCACTCTCCCCTTCCATCCCCACATCGCCCCAAAACATCCCTGTTAGGAAAACAATACACTATTCAACAGTAAAATCTACACACTCAACATTAGCCAGAAACCTTTAGAAAAGAGCCCAGGAGGGCTAGCAACACAACCAAACACAGTCACAGCTATTGTCTTTTACTGTACAATGTCGTGATCAATCCATTACACAAGTCACCTGGCCTCAGTGCTGCTTGGTGTAAAGAGTGCTCATTATTTTTTTTTCAAGCCACTAAATTGTGGAGATGAAGCTTTTAAACTTAAGTTTTAAACTACAGTTTAAACATGTAATCTAGATTTGAAGGAGAAAAGACATTCAGATTTGATTCCTGATAAAAGTTTGTTCTTTCTGTCCCCCAGCACCACAGAGAATCCTTCAGAGGACCACATGTGAAATTACCTGCAATAGATTTCCCTAAATTCATGGTCAATCAAGTATTTGAGAAATCAAGTTAAGTCCCTGCATTTGTATGTGTGGATGTACCTTTGCTATGAAATAGACACTGTATATTTTAAAATCCCAGTTTCCTTATGGAAACAGCTTCGCTTTCCCCTGCCCCAACCAAATCGAATGCTTTATTGCCAAGCCTATTTGGTCCAAATCTGCGAGGGAAATTCAAGTTTCATGAACTCCTCGGCTTCACCTAAAGAGTCAGGGTTTGTCATGATGCCAAACAAATTTTCAAAATAATATCACGCATGAGACAAACCTAGTACAAACAAGACAAATTCTCTTATCATGAAAGCTATGCAGACACAAATGCAGACATTGACCTTTGGAGCGGTGACTTGTTTTCTCTCTGCAGCGTGGTGAACGCCACTTCTAGAATTCAGTGTGATTACCCGAGGCTCCACACAGACCTGGAAAACAATGAAGCAGCGTTACCCCTGGAGCAAATGCCAGGCCGTGAAGTCACTTACAGTCCACGAAAAGTGCGTGCTGTCTGCCGAGAACATATTTTCCAGCTTTTATCATGGAAATGCTGGCATATGCGCAGGAGCAGAATGGAGGGCATAAGCTGTCCCTCGGTCTCCAGGCCCACGTCCTGGTGACCGACATTCTCTTCTCCTGGCTGCATTCTCTTGGCTTTGGCCAGAGTATTTTAAAGCCAGGTGAGCGTTGTGTCCTTTCCCCTCTTGGGGCTACTTAGAGAACACTAAGTTGCAAACTCCAAGACAGTTCGCAGCTTGGAAGGAGCACTGGGCCCTGGGCATTGAGTCTGAGACAGCTGGGGGTTTTGAGTCACTCTACTTGTCCAGTTCAAATCAACAAATGCCCATACTATTTAGAAAGGCTGTGCATGGTTTTAGCTACAGAGCTGATTTGAAATACACTAGCCTGAAAGTAATTATTTTACATTTTGTAATTTAATACTCTCCATTTGGGTTGGGAAGGACAGACCACATAGCAGCAATATTCTTATGTCTAGTGTAGCTAAACACTTAGCAATACGTGGTATCTTACGCCGTGCATTGCATTTGAAATGAGGATGTGGCAAAGCCTGTAGTTAGGATGTTTTAACTGTTAGGACTTGGTCTCACAGCAGAAGCGCTAGGCAGTGAAGACATTTGTGCATTCCTCTTCCAACCTGAGCCTAGCCTGACAAACACCTCCACAAGCACAGGAGCCTCCGTTCCTTCATACTCCACAGCAGTGCGCTCCCTACCTTGCATGGAATATAGCTGTGCCGTAAGCACATCCTGTGCTGTACTAAGATTTTAACCATTTTTACCTCAAGCCAGCAAAAAGACTCCTGGAAAGATCTGGGTTCTAGGGCAGAGAACATTGCTCAGCTAAATCTAATGGTTTTCTTTTAATTTGTGCCCAGGAGAAAGAAGCCTTGTGGGGAAGGCGCCCCATTCCCTGTCTCTGCCAGGAGCAGGTGACCCCGGCAGCTCCTCTTCTCTGGGGCCTGGTGCCATGGCAGCCCTGACTGTTCACTGAGATGGGAGCCTTTGGCAAAGGTGACAAGAGCATGCACGGAGCTCTTTGATGTGTACTGTTTCTCAACTCAGACATGTTCTTCTGAAATTGGACATATGATTCGTTTTCTCCACTGCACCCCATTTATTTTTGTGGGGAGGTGATTGCCTGTGAATACTAACATTTGAAGAGTGTGAGCATGTCCCGCTCTACTCACGTGTAACTATGACAGATAAAGCGAAACTATGTGCATTAGGTGGGGGGGAAGCAAAATTCATATGAATGCCAGATTCACAAAAGAGAAAGCAAACTTCCAATCAGCTTTCTAGTAATAGAAGTTTCTATTTTCTAAATGATTATTGATCTCTCTAGAGCAGCAGGTAAACATTTCACCAGATATCAGCACCAGTACCTTGCACAAAGTACACACTCAGTAAACAGTTACAAATGTACAGGTTCGAAATCACACACACCAACACCCACACCCACACACCCCACGGTCACCCTGCTGAAACGTCATCTGACTGTGGAGATCCTGATGAGGCAGTGTTACATCACGTAGTAAGAGGCAGCATGCATTCCACAAGACCGGGTAGGCGTGCCTTGCTTGGAAACTCCTGCACCTGCCTCTCAGGGCACCTGGAGCTCTTCATGACGTAAAAGTCTCGTGGTTACACAGTGGTCCGAAGGGTCCCAGTGCACTGAAATCCACTGCTTCTTTGCTTTCAGCGCAGTCACTGACTGGGATGGCTACCAGAGCGTTGTGTTAGCTTGTTCTAGCCATCGTCTTTCAGCCTGAAGTTCTCTAACACATGAACTCACTTCAGGAGGAGACTTTTTTGGGAGGCATCTGGTCCCTTTTAAAGATCACCTAGGGGCTGGGGAGATGGCTCAGTAGAATAAGCACTTCCCTGACAAGTGCAAAGGCCTAAGTTCAATCCCCTGTTCCGCCAAAAAAAAAAAAAAGATCACCTCATTTTCAGTTTTCACCTTACATGGTGGACAACGCCCATCAGCACCGCTGGTGAAGAAATGTCACCTGAAAGCACCCTTGGCTTCCCCTCTGCAGCTGCAAGGTCACCTGTCCCTCTGCAGCCCTGGTTGTGGTGGGCAGCTGTTTTTAGACGACAAGTGCTACCTGAGGAGCACGGGCCTGTGCCCTCATCCCCGTGGTGCTGCCCGTGTCGTGGGCCCTTCTTTAGGCTCGTGCTTCCTCAGGCCAATGTCACTTTAATTTCCTTCTAACTGCGTAGCAGGAATGACGAGGGGTCACTGAGGTTGTGGAAGATCAGTCCCAATGCTGACCTCGGGAACACAGCCCTCCCCAGAATTTTAATTTGGGGTGACACTGGTGTGGACAGTGTGAGGGACTCCAGCTCTCCTGGGCCACCAGCGTGAGGAGGTGCTGACGTAGCAGACTATGTGTACCTCCAGCAGGGGTTATGACAAATCCAAACCCTCCATAAGGAGATACATAGGAAAACGACTATTTCAAATACCGTCTGTTGTATGTGTGACTAAACTGCACCGCTGAATTGTTTGAAAAATTTCAAGCTGCTTTCTTTGGGAAGCTTGGCTGTGAACTTCAGCGAGTCTCACAAACTTCTACAACACATATCCAATATCAGTGGAAAAAACCTCAAATTGTGGACAATCCTCACCATGTTACTTTGTGGTATTCTTCTGCAAATTCCAGTTAAAACCAGATTTTAAATAGAAAACAACCCATTTATCTACTCTATAAGGAAACTTTTGCTATTGCTTTAGTGGCAGATTCATCCTCTTCTCGCCTACTAACTTCGGAAGCTGCCAGTGCTTATCAGCACATGTGCAGTGGCCGCCGTGGGGACTGCGGGGCCAGGGTGGACCCAGCGGGTGGGTGAGAGCACACTATGCTTCCTCGCAGACGCCTGCCGAACTGCTGCTTCCTGAGCTTCCACGTGGCTTAAAAAGCTTCAAATGGATGGCTTCACAGATGCCCCTTCCTTTTCGCCCCAAACATACCAGGGGAGCACAAACCTGCCCCACGCCCTGTGCAGGCATTAACATCACAGGGGGAGAGGTCAGTTCAGCCAGCAGGCCCAGCGGGGCCAGCAGGGCCAGGCCCCACCTTGCTGCGCAGTAAGCCAGCTCTCTGCTCACTTCCTGTGGCTCAGTGCTGTGTGTCTAAGACTGGGTCAAGGGTTATTCTCTAGCCACTAAGCCAGGGGAAAAAAATTTAATTTAAAGATGTAGACACTCTGGGAAAGAAACCTAAAAAAAAAAAAAAAAAAGAAACCCAAACATATCCTGCCTCAAACAAACAAAAGTCTTAAGTGATTTTCTTACAAATTAACAATTACACCTTTAAAAAAAAGAATTCCACCTACTGCTGGTATAGCACACACTTAAGTTATGACCTTTTCCTTTCCTAGATCTGGATGGAAAATTCAATCTTTAAAAGGAGCTTTTCTTCTTCTAAAGCTAGTGCTTTGGGGGGCCTCCTCGCCTTTGGAAACCGAGGTGTTCGGGCGCATTTGCCAGGCGGCGGCGGAGCTGCGGAAGGAGCTCCCCCGCGCGCGTCTGCGGAGCGGCTCAGCGCGGCCCCAGCGCGCCGCCTGGTAGACGAGGCTGCCGCCGAGGCCGCGCGGCCGGGCCTGCGCACAAGCTGCGCTCGGCTGAGGGAGGCGGCGGCGGGCGCGAGCATGTTACATCAGACACAGTACCTGATTTTCCAGTGCACAGCTTGTCAGCGAAGTGGTGCGCCTCCTGCGCGATAAGGGCGAGTATTTCATCCTCATACTCCTCTATTATGTTCTCGCACTGCAGAGACACAATGGTAACACACTACACGTCTGGATACACACTACACGTCTGGATACACACTGGTCGGGCATCTTGCTGGGGAGGATTTAGCAGCACTTTACTATACATAGGCGATCACGTAGCCAAGGCGGTCTATGGGGGGGGGCTCTTTTGGCTTAATTCATCATTGTCTCGGATTAGTCCTCTTCGCAGAATGTTAATTGCATCATTGCCTGGGACTTAACCAAGTCATTAGTCACGTTGAAAGATGCGTGAGGGTGAGGAGGGAAGGGGGTCTTTGTATTTCTTTTCCTAAAACTGGAACTCGAACCCTAGGCAGAAAGGGGCTTCCCACTAAGGAGCTGAAAAGTCTGTTTTCTATTTTTTAAAAACAATTGAAAGAACACAGTTCCTTGAGGTGGTGGGACCGGTTTCCTTCTGTTTTAACATAATAATCTAGTCTGGGGTTGGAAAGTGAGACAACAATAAGCTCTCGGTAGGAACAGTCCAACGCAGGGGCGGCTGCAGCGGCACTGTGGAGCCCTGTGGGGGGCTGGAGAAGTTTCTTATCATGCCATTTAGAGGTCCAGACAAAATTTCACTTTGCAGGAAAAAAGGAAAGAAAGAAAGAAAGAAAGAAAGAAAGAAAGAAAGAAAGAAAGAAAGAAAGAAAGAAAGCTGACATCACAGGGCAGAGAAAGCTCAAGCTTGCCCCCATCAGAAAATCTTAAATTACCACCAAGATGGTTCTTGGCTAGAGAACCATGTCGCACTTCCGCTGGGGCAGAAGCTCCTGGAGGGCTTCCATGAGAGACCTGTGCGTCAGTTTCTGAGGTCATCAAGCAAGACCCTAGAACTCTTTGGTGGCATTAGGAATATTTAAATTCCACCTTACTGTGTTTATTTAAAACCGGTGCAGCACAAACACCAGCACACCGCTCTTGCTAGTCCATCAGACTTCTAACCCTGAATTACTGCCCTGGCTTTTTAATTAAAATGGTATCTCCAAATGTCAGCCACGGCCCTCATTTCAGGGCTTCAGCAGGCCTGACATTTTGGCCACCGCGTGAACTTAATACATTTTTTAAGCAGGCCTGCCCATCACTGTGTGCGGTTCAGCGGCACTAAGTGAGGGGAATATATTGCAATATATTCTGCCAGGCACGTTCTAGCAGGCTAGAGGTCACCATTCACATAAAATCAACATTAGACGAGAGGAAAATTTGGCCTTATGCCAACTATCCTACCTAAGCCTTTGTTTAACTTAGTCTGTGCTAAAATTCTTCAGTTAGCTGGGGTGGGGGAGAATCTCTTCTGTGAAGCCTGGGAGGAAAAAGATGATTACGTCAGGACCCCTCCATCAGTGGACTCTCGAATCTTTGAAAATGACATGCCTTTCCATTTGGCCTTTTACCCTACTTCCCCACCCTTATGTGCAGCCCTGTCAGGCCTCCCTGGGCTCCAGGACAAAGTCACTCGAGTACACTGTGTTCAGGTCACTGGGCTCTGGGGACGGCGGCACCTCTATAAAACATCACCCCAGCTTCTCCAAGGATCCCTTTGGGTCGCCTAAGCCCTGGGGTGTCTCAAAAGGAGAGTTGCTAAGCACAGTTAGTCAGTAGCAGCAGGACAAGCCTATACACAGATGGCGCTGGATGTGCCTTCTACTGTCCCCTGCGCTGCAGCCCGGCAGCGGCAAGACAGCGCGGAGGACAAAGAGCACCGACCTGCTCCAGGTCACATGGTCCCTCTCAGAGGGAGATCGCTTACCGCGAACTTGAGAGGTTTGTAGGCGTCAGAGTAGTAATAGAACCTCTTGTACTCCTTGTATATCTTGTCTCCTTTCCGCGGAGCGTACCTCCGGAAGTACTTCTCTTTAGTCACAGGGTCCTCGTCGAGCTGGTAATCGTTCATCCGCTGACACACCTTATCCAGAAGGTCGATGAGGAACGCCTCGGACTGGACCAGGGGGACCTAGGGAGAGACAGAAGGCGAGGACTCTGGGCCTCAGGGTGGCCTGTGGACTAGAGCGTGTGGAAGCTCACCGGGCGGCTGCAACAAACAAGCAAGCCCTGCCTGCCTTGGCGCGGAGCCTCAGCCCCGGCGGCCTGATCTTTGCATCGTTTAAAGTTAGCTTTAGTCTAGGAAGAGAGGGCGCGGATCTCAAAGCGGGCAGACGACTTCTCGCAGACTGAAGCCTATGCCCGTGCACGGAATCATGTTTAAAAGTTGTTGACCGTGCAGCACGAGTCACAAAAAGGCTGTTAGCTAGGAGACAGAGACGGAGACAGAGCCTGCTTGCGTCTCAGCGCCCATGCGGTCCCTGGGAGCCCCAGTTTGTCCTCCCTGCGCGGCCGGCCTGCGATGGCACCGGCAGGGCCGCGGGTCACCGCCGCACTCCTGGGCACGGCTGGCGCGCGCCCCGGCGCCCCTCTCCTGCCGGCCGGCGGGTCCGCGAGGCCCCAAGCCACAGCCTGTGCCGGGGCGCGGGTCAAAGAGCGCCCCGCGCCCTTGGTAACCGACACAAAGACGTGCGGGCCGTCTAGACAGGTCAAGGTGCAGGAGCTGCGTCCCGCGGCTCCTTCCGGAAGGGGGCGTGGAGCCGCCAAGGGCGCGCGGCCCGCGCCGAGGCCCGCGCTTTGCGCCTTTCTCCCTCTCCACCCTCTGCTGATCAAAGTAGGAAGTTTGCCTGACAACCGCGGTGAAAGGGCTGCATCACAGATGAACTCGGTTTCTGCAGTGTTGATCTATCCAGCCTCCTTTGTCCCCTTTCACACGCAGTGTGAACCCTTCCGGTGCCAACGACCGCGCGACATTCACAGGCGCGCCCGGGCGCACAAAGGGTCTCCGCGCTTCGCCGCCATCTGGCCGCAAATCTGATCCGCCAGTGCGGCGGAATTAACATGAAAGACAGTGCGGCGGCCGGGCTGATTATAACCCACCCCGGTGCCACCGTCAACCCGCTTTCAATAAGGAATCCACTCTGTGCAAACACGTTCAAAGGGACCCAGAAGACGGGAGAGTTAGAGAAAGCGCCACTCCCGGCCCGCCGCACCTGCCGCCTACAGGTAAAGCCCTTGGCCCCCAACTTGACTGCGTCTGACTTTGAGCGGCTCCTCGGCCCAAGCGTACCAATTGGCAATGACATAATTTGTTCTAGGGTATGCCACAGACCTTAATGAGCCCCTAAAGTGCCAAGGTTATAAAAAAATATAGAAAAAAAAAAAACTCGTGAGTGATTTAATTTTTAAAAATGTCTCCTCGAAGGGCACACATCCCCAGTACAAGCTGACTTCTGTCTGTGCCCGAAGGACAGCCTCCAAGCGCTGGGAGCTGTAAACAGAAGCACACGGGTTAACAAACAAAATGGAAACTTTACCAACCGATAGAAACCAAGCATGAGACATGTGCGAGTCACTGGAAAAAGTTCTAAAATGCAAAGGTAAATTCTTAAATTACGATTAGTCCAGGCAACAGAAGGCAACAGAAGGCCCAGGGGTGTAGTTGCTTTCCGAGATGCGTGTGTGTTTAATCTAGCTCCCTGTCTGAATGCATATCAGTTTCTGGGGGAGGGGGGTCACTGAGGCAGTATTTTTCTTGAAAGTGAAGAATGGACTCTCCTTTAAAAATCCAACTGTAATCTGGAAATTCACCCTTGCTCCAGCCCTTCCCCTGCCTCCTCCCCCTCGGGAAAGTCAACAGCATTGACCGACTGGGGGTGGGGACCCTGAGGGGCCTGGAGGGCTAAAGCTCTGGGGGTGGGGAGGCACTGAAAACTCAGCAGAGCCAGGTCCTCAGAAACCAGGCACTTCCCGCCGGTCAGGCCACCCTCGCAACTATTTTGTTGATGTTAATTGTTTGTATTTTTAAACTGACCCGGCCTTCTGCGGCAGCACCTCTGTGCCTGTCTGGGAAGGCCTGCAGGACCGATTCTGAGCGCCCTGCGGTCTCTCCCCAGCTGGGATTTTTTGGAAAGCAGTCCCCATGTTAACGCCTTCCCCATAAGAGTGAATTGCTTTTCTTATCCTGAAAGTGTAATCTTACAGGTTGGAATCTAGCAGGAGCTTGCCTGTTTCAAAACATACTTTGCATGGCAATAACGACGCAAATCTGTATCTGGCTGTTTGATGCAATTTGCTGGCCCTTTGGAGCGACGATTCTTTCAAAGTAGGACATGTTGCTGCAGCTCGAAGACCCTGTCACCTATCTTTTTCCTTTCCACCAAAAGTGGAAAGGAAACAAACCCAAGGGCAGAAAAGCAGAAGTCAGCATATTAATAAATAAATAAATAAATAAATAAATAAAAATCTTAAAACCCTAAAGCATCAGATTTCTCAAGAAAATGTTTAAGGAAAAAGAGGGCTACCGTAGCAGCTTTTTTTCTTTTAGTTTTTATTTTCTTTTATGAGTCCATGTTTGCATGTGTGGTGTTACCTTCTTCGCAGGAGATGTCCAGGCACACAAGCCATCCTGATTTTGCTAAAGTAGCCTCATTAGAGCTTAAAATGATTCTCCTTACCTGAACTACCTTTGAAGAAAATTTAAACACTGTTCACAGAGTCATTGAGCCTCTTTTCCCCCCAGACTATCTCATTCTAGGAGTGCAGTGAGCACAGGGGCAAGCGAGTAAAACTGAGTCTTTCTTTCAAGATTGTGAAGATTCTGAATGGCGCTTGTCGCTAGAGCAACTTCTATTGTAATGTTGGGGAACCTTGCGGCGGCCCTCGGAGGATGGCCCCAGCGATGCTAACCTCATTACAATATGAATAGAAAGGGCTGCAGTGGCCACCGCTGCTGTATCCGGAGAAAACTGACTTGGGGCACCGAGTTTTCTCATCTGCCTTGCTTTACTCTTTCGGTATAAGTTAGAAATGGAAAGACGATGCGCGATTATTCCATTGCTATTTGGGAAACCCCCCACCCAAGTAAACCCTAACTTCTCCGGGCCTTGAAACCCACCTTCAACTCTAATTCACAATAGATGCAGTATCTGTTTTCTTTCTTAGGCTTCTGACCATGTGCTTAGTAAGTAGCCGGGGGGCAGGCAGGGGGAGACCCCATAGCCCAACTTAAAAGGGAAAAAAGTAGTAGAAAGTTCTCCTTTGGGTTTCTCCAGAAAGCTGCAGCCCAGGAGTTTATTACAAGCCACAATGACATCCTTTAATAACAGTCAATTACACGATGCAGCCCGTGTTTTTTCATTACTGTGTCTCTGTTAATCTTGTAGCAAATTTCTTGGTTGATAGCTATCACAATCAGGCAGGAATACAATTAGGTGGCTGCACAATTGACGCGGAGCCTGGCCTCGTGGCGCGCTGTCTCTGCCATTCCAGTCCGACAGTCGCCAATAAATTTCATTCGTCTTTATCGTTCTTGTGGAGTTGCCTTCATAGAGGAAACCAGGGCCTGACATGTTTAGCGACTGGTAATTAATTTCACATTGTTGCTAAGATTTTTCTTTCTGGAGGGCTGGTTAATGTCGAAGTTTTAATTGCATTGTGGCAAATATTGAATCTAGTTTAATCACTAACTTTTCATCCATAAAAAATGGAATCGCCGCTGTTAGTTAAAAAGTCAATATTTAGAAGCAAAAATTCAGAGTTCCTTGCTCTGGGCTACAACAGAAGCATGAATTCAGAAATTCTTGTAGGTGGATGAGATATATAATTAGCTTTTATGTAATTTGCTATGCGTCGCTTGCCTTTTGCGTCTTCATATACCATGCAAACAGTACTGACCATTTGCTTTTATTAGATAATATAATTAGAAATCTAAAGATGCTTATTTTGAGGAGGAGCAATAAAAATGGAGAAGTTCCTAGCGTTGTGCGTATCAAAACAAATGAGTGGTGAGCATCATCCGTGAGCAATTTTGGGTGGCCAAGGTGACTGCCACAGGACCGGTTTCGCTCCGGTGCTCCCCCGGCCCTGTGCTGCAGGCTCACGCATGGTACCACGTGCGTCCACAATGCTGGGAGGGAAAACACAAAGACTTCCACATAACTTGCCACAAACAACCATGCGTTTTTGAAAATACCATCTAAATTTTGCCTCCTATAATTTGAAGAATGGAAATCAGCCCTTCTTATTGAAAATGGTCAACAAGTGTTCCCTGTCCTTACTATTTCTTGTCATATAGCCGTACTACATATATGCTCAAAGTAGTAAGAAAAAAAGTCATTGAATGAGAACAAGGCAATGGTGGGGTTCCCAAATTAAATCACTTTTTAAAATTCTGTATGTTGTTTTCATCTCCGTGACAAAATAGAAAAACCACTGTGTAGTGACCATTTAATGTGCTGGACGGGGTGGGATTCGTGTAACCCGGTTTGACATTTTCCCCAAGCTAGAGGTGCATACCTACCTTCGCTATGAAGCGTAAGACTGGCCCTGCCCTCGGAGCTCCTGTCTTCACAGGTGTTCTGTTAGTCTTCAGAAAAACCTACTACATTTCGAGCGCTCTGGGTAAAGGTGACTGCCACTTTCTGCGGGAGAGACTCCATCCTCTTTCTCCCTCATGACAGTCACGGAAGCCAGAATCGGGGCTCCTAACTCACGCTGTGCCTCTGGCTCTGTCCCCAGCTGGCACAGCTCAGAGGATCACTCGTTTCAGAAACAAAAACAAACACTTCCTAGGAAAAAGAGAGTGTCCAAGGGCAGTAGCAGAAATCCTATAGCACCGGTGGAACGGATGGGAACTGCCTATTCACTCAACAAATAACCACTGAACCCTCGCTACATGTCAGATAAATTCACATCTCTAATCCTGACTTTCCTAAAGATTGTGAATAAAAACTGAAATAAAATCCCAGGAACAGCATATGTGTAATGTCACTAATTGCCATCCCCTGAGCCACAGCTTCCCTGGATACGGATCTGCTTCTTCTCTTCTACTGCAGTGCCCACGGTCTCGGTTCTGGTGTCCTGTTACTGAAAACATCAGGTGGCAGACTCTGTCTGCAGAGAGCCACCTCT